TACTCACTGTTTACAGATGGTTGCGTTCCAGGATTGGCCGTATTGTTCTCGAACGCCGATCTCTCGACAGTCTGCTTATTAGCTGGTCCCCGGTTTCTATCTGCATATTGCCTGAGATTTGTTGTGTAGTTAGATCGAGTATTATTCGCTTGATAAGGCATGTGTGAATTAGAAAAGATAGGACCAGGACGGAAGTCAGATATTGGAGCTGTTGGAATAGGTGGTGGCGGAGAAGGAGTTATTTGCGTGCTATCGAGCTGTCGTATCGATGGAGAGGGGGATCGAGGGGTATTTTCGGCAGGTGGAGAATCGGAACGATTCCTGGGACGAGTATGGTGCCAGGAATCAGGCCCATCTGTTATTTGACGTGTCTGTGGCAAAGACGGCTGCTGGCCACGATGCAATTGAGCAGCGTAATTTGTATGCTCTATTATAGGGCTTCCAGAGTTCCCAGGCGGCTTTCGAATGATCAGTCTGAGACTTCACTATATTGTAAAAGAGGGAATTGAGAAGGCCTCCTTTCAATCAGACTCACTAGATATAGATTGTAGTTATACTTTTCTGCTAATGTAGCAAGTAGCTTTTGTTCATCATCTTCACTTTCTCTACTTATATTTTGTGGCCCAAATTGTGCAACGTTATCGATGACATTCTCATCTGCCTCGTCTGTGACAGTTGCTTGTGCTCGACGATTGCGAATGTATTCTTGAGCCTCGCGTTGTCTATCCATTGCTTTTTCCGACGGACTTGAATCTCGATGGGAAGTGTCGTTCTGCGTTGCAGGTCCTCGATCCATTTCCGAATAATGCTCTGAAACTCTCGCCTTATCAGAGGCAGCCACATCTATGTTCTCCATGTATGGATAATATTACAGCCTTGTTGCTTGGTATCAGAAGAAGTGTGTATCCACATGAAATGGGCCAATTTTTTGTATAACTGTTCTGCAGTAGTTTACTATGGGCTGGGAGTTAGAAGCACGAATTAGATTTGTCGCTGGATGATCACCTGCAGGTCTATTGGTGTCACTATGAAGATGCAGTTGGCAATACAAATAGAAGGGAAATTCTTTCGCAATGGGAAAGAAGGAAACTTCAGAACGAAAAGAAGGGAAGAAAAAAAAAACGAGGCTGTCAATCGAATGTGACGCATTTCGAGATCCATGCCTGCAGATTGCTGCCCTATGCATTGACTTGGTCGGGTCGGGCCCCACAGATTACTGAATAAGGTCTATATGCCAACGCACTGAACAGAGAGGGATCCCATCGGATGTTTTCAACTTTTCATACGAAGAGCCTACAACAGGTTATTTGAGAAAGCACATCCGTACCAGTCGAGCCAGTCTGCCAGATTTGAGATGCGCAATATGCGCAAAAGGCGGTCAAGAGTAATCAGTTTGTGGTAGCGGGGCTGCTTACCCCAGCGGGGTCTAAAAAGTGGATTCTTGGAATTGAGATCCATCTCATGGTGAACACACTTTGTATAGGTAGGTACCTAGGTATATAAAATATAATAAGAACGATAATGAAGGAGCACGCAGACTTGACTGTAACTTTTTGTGATAGATTTGTGTTTGATATTCAGTATCTGCGACTATAGGCTTCAAGGGATACTATACAAACAGGCCGTTGATATTGTAAAATGTATGCTGACAAAAAATGCAATGCGACATTCCTTTAGGCCACTTGGCTTTTATTGGTCGAAGAAAAGCTTACATCTGTACGAGTGTATAACTTGTGAAAAGCCATCTTCAGATATGTACGAGGTACCTAGGTAGCTGGAGTATTAAGATACTATCAATACTTACACAAAAATGATTCGGAATAGATGATCATATCTGCTTGGTGGAGCGTTGATAACCTGGAAACACCTGGGCATGGGGGTGTGGCTAGGGAGAATTTTTAAAAGTGGCTGTTATCCATCTCCTAAGCGACGTCTGGACGCCACTTTCTTTAGTTTGACAGAACCTTAGAATCCTAGGTGGATGAATGTAATGTTGAATTATTAGTTCAACCACACGATACTTAAATTGAATAAGGTCAAGGGAATCGAGAGAATATAAAACAAGAGCCTTTCTGATAAAGATGTCGAGGTTTATTTAGACCTGTATAAAATTAGTACCCAGAATTTTTTTCTTTCATATTTATAACTTGATGTCTGTATCTAGGTAGGCCGGTTTGCATCCATCATTAGATTCCAGGGGACAAAACGACAAAAGAGATATTGAAATTGATCTGAAGGAACAGGTGCACGATTTGACAGCAAAAAAATTCCGGTACGGGGAATTGAACCCCGGTCTCCCGCGACTTGATTGAAGCTCGAAAGCTTCTAATGAGAGGCGGAAATGCTAGCCACTACACCATGCCGGAGTGATTGTTACTGTTTTGGATACTTAAGCTGTCGTTATTTGAAATGATATTGGGACGCGGAAGTACGGGAAAAAACCTTGGAATGAATATGAATGTGCAGAGATTTTCGTGGGTGAGGTTTAGCGAGCTGGCGAGTCAGGGTGGGGCTACACCATGCCGGATTTTCTATCTCGTAGTTATAGGCTCATTAGTTATTTAGGTCTATATTGTCATATGTGAAGTAAAGAGAATTTCTCACCTAATGTCGAGTCAATCACTATGAAAGAATTAGTTGCTTGTGTTCATTATTTAGTAATGGATAGTTCTTAAAGGAATCTATATTCAGATGTCGTCGATTAGATTAGTAGAGAGGAAATATAAAATCTACTCTGAAATGAATCATGTAGTTGTATTTCAATTATTATTCTTTTCATTTGTTAATTTATTGTGAAAATTAGAGGTTGAGATTGGATTTTCTATAAAACTCAGATGTTTTCGTTAAAATTCAATACTAACAATATCGAGTAGCAACTTGATGAGAACTTTAAAACTCAGTTATTCTATTCTAATATTCTGAGCTGCAGTAAGGAGGCGGATATAAATCGGGATTAGTTGAACGAGTGGAATTGAGAAATGATCAATGTTATCGGTTTATTTAATGTACTGGATAAAATAATAATGATTATTTTTGGCATTTTCAATCTTGAGGTAACCAAATATAGATCAATTAGGTGCTCGCTTCTTCTCATTGACGAAAGAGCAGATTTATATGTTCGTACGGAGACAGGGACTAATACTCATGTGCAAAAGGTTAAATTGAGATATAAGTCCAAGACTAATAGTGGATCCGCAACAAGCTCAAGCATATCCAAGTCAAACTCCTCAAATCGCAATCCTGTCCTGCCATTTATACTTGTCAGTATTTCTTCAATAAGTTTTACTTCTTGATAATTGCAGCTGGAATTAGAGTTTCTGATATCTTAAAAGTTCCATCCATCACAATGACCTCCCCAACTGCAAGTCAGTCCGCAAAGGGCCCCATCTGAGAGTTCCCCGCTGACGATCTACGAAACAGCGTTCGATTACTGACCACTCATAACGAGGAAGGCAAAGGCATTTTCTTACCGACAGATCATAGTGGCCACCATGAAATTATGGTCAATGGCCACGCTGTCGCGAACATAATCTATAACACAAGCGGGAACGCGGTGAATCTGTAAAATGATGCAGATATCAAATATGCAAGAGAAAATGAGGTATGCTGTGCTTTTGCAAGTCCTAGTAAGATATCAAGATCAATGACTCACATCTTTAACAGCCCAGCATTCATATCAAGAACGGAACGGTAGTCAGGCTTATCGATTTCGCTCCAGGCATGGACTCGCCAATGCACCGTGCAATGTCTCTCGACTATAGCATTGTGATTAAAGACAAACTGGAGATCACTCTCGACAATGATGATTCTCGTATTATGAGGCCAGGAGACGTCTCAGTCCAGAGAGCTACGATGCACAAATGTCGTAACCATTCAAAGGAAAAAACCTGCCCGTGCAGTAGTTGTCCTTCTAGACTGTGAGCCTTCAGCGTTAACGGCGTTGAGGTGAAGGAATATCCTGGAGATCTAGCAGGGGTATATAAAGAGTACTAGGCAACTAGCGCAAGGGCTTCATCAAGCTGCTAATACTCTCAAGCTACTGAAGGAGAGTTTAATTGCGTCAATAGTATGAAGCAAATAATACTTATTCAACTCTTTAAATTCGCTTGTGTGAAGTTACAAATCTGATCAATCTACAGCATACTCATCGCCACTAAGTACAGATGAATTTGCACCCATGTACTGATCTCATATATATTGCTAGTATCTAAGAACATAACAAATTCCGAGTCCTCCAAGCTCTAGTTGTAGTTTCTAAGGTACACTTGAACTATATTTATTCGGCTGCTATGCCCTTCATTAGGTATGTACTGTAAGCTCATCCGGATCCGGATATGATCTGCGCGCTCATCGTCAGATTAAGCGAGTGAGCTACAGTATTAACAATACCTATCTATATTCAATATAATAACTACTAGGTACAATCTTACCTAGTAATTAGTATTCGTATTCGAGATCATTATACCTTAAGGATTAGCAATTAATCACAAATCAGTATCTATTTATATTTTAAAGTAGCTGAATTTGCTATATATTACAACTATAACTTTTTTATTACAATAAGAAATTCTGCGCTAGATCTGGTGAGTGCCGGTGCACAGATATGACGTAGCAAACGCATTGAGGAGGCACACTACTCTCTTCTAATTCCCCAAGCTCTATATTATAGAATTCATATTATGTTTAGCAGCTCAGATACTGTTTATCTTTATTCTCCTAAATGACTAGATTATTGACAAATTCTAATATCGAGGCTTTATTTGTGCGACAAATAAAACAAGAATCACCAATATAAAATCCCATTGAATACATTCAGGATAAATTCCTGACATACCTCAAGGTAAACAAGCATCAGAGGGATACATAACGTCGTTTACACCTTTTATTCCCGATAGACAAAACAATCTTCTAAAGTTCTCTATTTCAATACTCCAAGCCCAAGCATCAAAGTTTGGACCTGACCCTCAAAATAATCATGACCTCTCAAAATTTTGATGATGATGGGAGGCGGCACAGCCGGTTGCATGCTTGCAAACAGGCTCTCGGAGAATGGGCGTTACCGAATTCTTCTTTTAGAATCTGGAGAAGACCTGAAAAGTGACCCTCGAACCAATATCCTATCGTTGGGCCTGCTTCTCATGACTACAGATGCCAACTGGGGCTTTTCGACTGTTCCTCAGGTAAGAGAGTCTTAAGCAATCTACGCTTGCTTTGCTAATGAATTCAAAGGCCAATATCGGAAACCGCACTAATTCAGCAAGTGCCGGCCGTTTGCTTGGAGGATCTAGCGCTATCAACGGTTTCGCATTTCTTCCGAACTCCAAATTAATCATCGATGCCTGGGCCAACCTTGGCAATCCAGGCTGGGACCGGGAAGCTTTTTCTAGGTCTATGGATCGATTTACTTTAGCCACATCCACCACGAATCCCGCCAAAAGCCCTCTCCAGATCACCGTCCCAGAAGAGAATATAGAGTGGCCGTGTGTATGGAGGGACACACTTGCTACGCTTGGATTCCCGATTGCCCAGGATGGATTGACTTCTGGTAACATTCTGGGAAGCTTGATGGGGGGAGAAACAATTGGTCTCGACAAGAAGAGAAGCTATTCAGCTAAGGCGTACTTGGACGATATAGTTCGGCCAAGAAGTAATCTCACCATTTGGACAAAGGTTACTGCCGAACGAATCATCTTCGAAAATTCAGATTCCCATACTCCCATTGCAGTTGGTGTTACGGTTCGTGATAGTGAAACTGGGACTTTGAAGTCCGTTTTGGCAAACAAAGAAGTCATTCTTAGTGGGGGCACAATTAATTCTCCGCGTTTACTTGAATTGTAAGGCGTTCGTAACCCAAATATTCTGGAGCCAATTGGAATTGAAGTTATCCAATCCCAACGTCGGCGAGCACTTGCAAAATCATCCTCTTGTCACGGTTACCTTCGAAGCACGCGACGAGGATGGATTTGACACGATTGACCAGTTACTGCGCAAAGATGAAGAGGCTGTTCCAAAATTCAAAGCGGAATATGCAAAAGGCCTCGGACCAGGATCCAAGAGCAATTTGAATATCCTTGCTCAACTACCAGTTTAAATGGATGCCGAGTTAGAGCAAACTTTGGATGCCATGCTGCCGCAGCATTCGAATACATCGGCATCTCTTATCAAAGCACACGAAGCATTCGTAAGATCCGTCGTTGTGTCTCCAAAAGAAGCCTCTGGATGTTATCCCTGTGGTGGCAGAATCCGTAGTTGACGAAACGATCGCTTCGTTAATTATAATAAATCTTCAAAATTCATGTATGTATTGAAAAGATTGTTTTTAAAATATTAATAAGATTAATTTCATTTTTGTATCCAATGAAACGTATTCTAATCAATAGGGCTTTAATGAATTTCTTAAATTTCGAAAGTTAATTGAAAGTTTTAGTCTAAGATAATCATCTTCAAGTAAAAAAGTTTACTTGTATTGAATTCGATTAATAATCAATAAAATGTAAATATATATATATAAATATTAGAGTTGATAAGTATTCTTGTTTATATAGTATATTCTGTATTGTATGATTTAGTAATAGAGTTTTTGATTAAAGAATAAATCGAAAGTAATATAATCGAACCCCTTTTTACACTTTTAACTAAGGTTTTATTCACCTTTTAGTTTCTATGCTTGCTCCTCTCTTTCTTTTAGTTTCTATTTATCTTTTTAATTTTCTTTTAGTCTTTATATATATGTCCTTTTGTTCACCTTTTCTATAACTCTAACATTCAATATTTGAAATCTCTAAGGGTTTTCAGAGCTCTTATTTTATTTTATTTTCTAACAAAATTCAATAATAAACGAGTTATAAAAAATTTCGATTTGATTTGTTATTAATAAAACACTTATTTCGTTAATAATAAATAGAATATTAATATTATAATATATATAATAGAAATTTATATAGGGATTTATATTGAATTTCTTTTTTATATCTAGATATTAACTTTATCCCCCAGGGTCTTAGGAGGATGAAATGAGACGATTGACTACTAAATACTTCTAGATGAAAACTTGAGTATTAAATAAATGCTTATGATTACGCGCCAAATCAACGTTTTCTTATTGTTAATTGGTTATAGCTTATATATAATATGAGGTAAATGATGTGCTTACCACGTGATCTTTCTATAGCTAGTGTTTATAGGCATTTGTTGTATAGTTCAAAAAGAATCAATCCATGTTCCTACCACCTTATTGACGTTACGTTCGCTGTGTGAAGTGCCCTAGAGTCTTTGTCCTTACCCTCACTTCGGGGACGTTACGCTTCCAGTTATCTAGCCTGCCTCATTTAGTCTTTGTGGTTCTTCCATGGTACATGCGAAGGATTGTCCTAGGTACTAAAACCATGATTATCTTCCTTCCTAATACATCAATTTCTATGAACAGTCAATTCTATCGCATCTGATCGGTTCTTTGGGTGCGTGGCTTTGATTTTGAAGCTTATTAATTTAAACTACAGATGTTCAGATATGTTTTCACAGTTGGACAGGCAGATTGAAGAAACCCCCTTACATTAGCTAGGTACTTTCCCAGTTACTACTAGCATTAGCACCAGCATGATGTCTTGGTAGTATCCGAGGTCATACAAAACGCTCAAGATCTATTCAAGAGATCTCTTGGTTTTCTGGGGATTATTTTCATACTATTGATAGCTTGAGGAACTCCTGCTATAAGAGAGTACGATATGCGAGTAAGATCCCACGGGCCCCAAAGTGAGCTTACACTTAGTACACTCAATTTTATAACTAGCTTCCAAAACCTTAAATTTTAATCCTTATATGATTTCTCTTCAAATGTATATTCTGATTTTTTAATTTATATTGTTTTATTTATATTTTTATTATTAATACTTCAATTTAATAAATAATTAATACAAAATGATTACAAAAACTAGAAACCTAAATATTTTGTTAAACAAAAAGATTTATTTATTTTTCCTTTTAAGAGATTTATTAGAATTTCTAAATTAATTAAAAAAGTCTTAGATATAAAGCAAATACTTATTTCTAAATCAAATATTATTATTTCATTATTTAAAAAATTCAAGGAATCTTTTTAAAAACTATAAAACCTCAAAAAAAATATATTAAAAGATAGAAAAACTTTTATTATCTTTAATTATCTTTATTATCTTTATTATTAGCTTATTCTTCTTACAATTCCTTTTTTAAAGCTTTTTAAAATTAATTTTTTTTATTTAATATATCAATATTATAATATTGATTTTTCTTTATATAAATCTATCTTCAATTCTAAAATAGAGAATATAATATATAATATATTTTATTAATTTTTTTTAATATATATCAATAAAAAAACAATCTCTATAATTTATAAGATTCTTAATATTAATAATTCTTTTTAAAAAAACTTTAATAAATTTTTAAAAGATATATAAAAAGAAATAGATAAATAGATAGATATTAGATATATATTTATAGAAAACAAGTTAATTCTATAATATAATAGTTTATATAAAACCAGTAAAAAGGAATAAAACAAATTCAATAATATTTCTATGAAAAAGGATAGAAGAATATTCTTTATAATCTCTATATACAAAAGTACTTTAATAAGAAGTATTGGAATATTACTATACCCAATTTTATAACTAATTTCCAAAACCTTAAATTTTAATCCTTGTATGATTTCTCCTCAAATATACATTCTAATTTTTTAATTTATACTATTTTATTTATATTTCTATTATCAATATTTCAATTTAATAAATAATTAATATAAAATAATTACAAAAACTAGAAAATCTAAATATCCCACTAAATAAGAAAATCCATTTATTTTTTTTTTTTAAAAAATCTATTAAAATCTTTAAATCAATTAAAAAAATCTTAGATATAAAGTAAATATTCATTTCTAAATTAAATACTATTATTTCATTATTTAAAAAGCTTAAGGAATTTTTTCTAAAGATTATAAAACCTTAAAAGAATATATTAAAGAATAAAAGAACTTTTATTATCTTTATTATTTTTATTATTAGCTTTATTCTTTTTGTAATTTCTTTTTTAAAGCTTTTTAAGATTAGTTTTTTTTTATTTAGTATATTAATATTATAATATTCATTTTCTTTATATAAGTCTGCCTTTAATTTTAAATAAAGGATATAATATATAATATATTTTATCAATTCTTTTTTAAATAATATATTAATAAAAAAGAATCTTTGTAATTTATAAGATTTTTAATATCAATAATCTCTTTCAAAAAAACTTTAATAAACTTTCAAGAAATATATAAAAAGAAATAAATAAATAGATAAATATTAAATATATATTTATAAAAAACAAGCCAATTCTATAATAATAAATAGCTTATACAAAACCAGCAAAAAGGAATAAAACAAATTTAATAATATCTCTAATAAAAAGAAATAAAAGGATATTCTTTATAATCTCTATATATAAGAGTACTTTGATAAGAAGCATTAGAATACTACTAAAGTAAAGGTTCACTATACTTGCCCCAAAAAGTATATTTCTATTCCTCTTATCAAAAAGAATTTAAACCCTAAAAAGAAATATATATAATATAAAACTAGATTTAAATTTAGAAGAAAATATAAATAATAATAATAATAAATTAAATATTAAGCTAGAAAAAAAAAGAAATATATAGAATGAAATATTATAACAAAAAAGCAATTAAAGAAAATAAACATTCAAAAAAAAAGTAATTCCAAAATAAAAAAGCTATAGAAAAAGATTTCAGAA